CCGTTGGAGTTCGTTAAACTTTGTTCATACCGATTCTAGTCTTGCAAACCGATTGGAACTCATATTTGTATTGGGAGACCCGTTATAGTTTTCGTTGAGTTTACCTCTTATTTTGTTATGTTTCTTTAACTGACTGTTTTTTTCTTGTTTTTTTATTTTTTTTGTGGAAGTTTTTTTTTCTTTTTCACACTTCCTAGTCATTTTATTTTTGTTGGTAGTGTAAGAATTTAGTTTCAAAAGTCTATTGATTTATTTTTTTAATATTGTATTTTAATTTTCAGTTTCTTTTAATTTTTAACCCTCCTTCCATAAACTTAATTTTATTTTTCTCGTATATATTCTCTTTTTGCGTAATTCTTTTGTTTTTCATTTTCTACGTGTTACTTCGGTTTTGTACCAAATTTTTTTTATTTTCTACTCGTCTCCATCCAGCCGCAAGCCAAGTTTAATTTTATTTGTTTTTATTTTCTTTTCGTGTTAGTCGGCCATTTTGTTTAACTGGTAAATTTTTTACACATGTCTTTTTCTTATATTTTTTTCTTTTTTAGTATTTATTTCATAATTTGTTTATTTTGCTTTTTTTTTTAATTTGTAAAAAAAAGAAATTTTTTTAGTTTTTTTCTTTTTCAGTATTTTTTTTTTTTACGGCAAATATTTTTGTATTTTTTCGCCTGTTTTTGTCCGATTTTCCACCAGCCTCGAGGCGTCTGAAGCTGGGTGCGTGGGTCACATCACAGAACCTGAAATCTGGGAATCGCTGAAGTTGGTTGACCCGTACAAAACACCGAGATTAGATGGTCTTCCTTACGAACTGTACTTGAGGCAGTCGCGAGTTCTTGTTCCCTTGCTTGAACTGACAGCTGGATAAAGCAGAAATCAATGCACCAACGCTTGGCCAGGGGTGTGATCAAGTTATTACACAAAAACAAGAATTGTGGGGATGAGATAGCTAACTTTCGATCTTTGACGATATTAAATACATAGTTGAAGATAAGAGCCAGCCTTTTGCAGGCTGACCTGCCTAGTTAGATTAACTCTGAACAGACTTGTTCTGTGATGGGTAGGACTCTCCAGGACAATCCTTATTTGGTACGCTTGATCATCGAGGAAGTCGACAGTGAAGTACCTAAAATTTTTATTTTTTACTCGTCTCCATCCAGCCGCAAGCCAAGTTTAATTTTATCTGTTTTTATTTTCTTTTCATGTTAGTCGGCCATTTTGTTTAACTGGTAAATTTTTTACACATGTCTCTTATATTTTTTTCTTTTTTAGCATTTGCAGTGAAGCCGCGCTGATCAATTTAGTAGTCCCAGAGGAATCTTTTCTTAAAGGGGAAGGCTGAAATATATGTTTCGTATATCTATCCCAATTCTCGTTTACCGACCCTCTGTGCTTCCACTTCCGTATGCCATACGAATACAATAAATTAGCGTCTTGTTCTCCTTCTTGTGGAGAGGCAAAGCTCCCAAGGTATGTCGGTAGATCTATTACCTCCACCCCTCAGAAGGCGGTCTGGGTGTACCTAGCGTTGAGATTCATCAATAAACGCTTCGTATCGTGTTCCTAGACTGAATGGGAATGGCGAATTCTGGAAGGAAGACGCTAGTAAGAACGTCCCGTCCCTGAGAAGTCTGAACTCGTGTGAGGAGGAGGCCCACCTTTTACTCCAAGGCGAGTGCTCCGTGAATGCCGGTTGGCTCATGTTCCTCTTACAGGCGACGGATGCCCTCTCCGAGATCCAGGCGTTGTCCCGTAAGGCATTATATCAGATTTTAGTGATGGGTTCGTTCAAGTCTTATTAGTGTACTCGGTTTAATGAAGCAGGAGGCTCGCTCCATATGGCCTTGAGCGCCTAGATTGAAATGTCTCAATGAGGCATTACTCACTTAGCTGGTGGCGGGAAAGTTCCTCTGGATCGGGGAAAAAATCTTTCTTTGGCGAGATTGGAAAATTCTTCCAAATGCATCCACTTCAATTAGTCGGTGGCAACCCTGGGTCATGCCTTCTTTCACTGCAAAGTCGTAGTCACGTTGTGTAAGTTTATTGAAAACATCATGGTTTGAATGCTGCGCGGAAAACTCTATGTTCTTGAGGCCAGTTCTGTTTGTAGCAATGTGGCAATGTCGTTGACCAAAGCTGAGCACTAGGAGTTCTTGTGCTTACAAGGCGGTTATGTAAGTCGAGATACGGACGACGCTACAAAAGGAATTCTATGAAAACGAGAAGTTTACCTTTCTTCCAACAGATCTTGTTCTTTAAGCATCAGATTAAATTCAAGATCGAGACCGAAAGGGGACGACACCTTCCATCAGAATTTGACAAATGGTGAACGAGTCTTGCGCGTATCTGTCGGTTAGATATTGGGAGCCCTGTATTAAACATTGGCAACCCCACCCAAAATAGGGTAGTGCAGGCTTATTTTGTTGGTTTTTTTTTTACTTTTTTACGCCAAGTTAATTTAGCTCGGAGATGTATGTTTATTGGTTCTTTTTTACTTTTATGTCCACTTTCTTTAGTTTAATTCCCTATCATCTTGCCTGTTAGGTGATCATAAATACCTGTTCTCTCGTGGATGTGTGTCGCTTTTCGTTTTCTGAGTGTGTTCTTTCGTAATTGTTGCTGTGTCTGAACGAGTGCTAGTGTGTGTGTGTGGTTGGTTGAATGATAGGTTTTTAAGTCATCCAAGTCCCGCATTAATTTCGTACAGTTAACTGATATTTCTGAAACAATTAAGGATTGTGTTTTTTTATTAGAAATCATTTTATTTAGTTATTTTTGTATATATATATATATATATATATATATATATATATATAGAGAGAGAGAGAGAGAGAGTAATAATGCATATTGTAAATATTCATTGGGGCTTTTATTTTTAAGTTTGTTATTATATTTCCCACTCCACACAAATTGTAGATATGCGGTTATTTAGGACTTCTTAGAGACCCTGAGGTATTATGGCGCATGTAGTAAAAATGATAATTAAGAATACGGTATTTTGATACAAGAAATATTGTATAGTTTGTTTGTGTCAGTGATTTAAATTTAAGCAGAAGACAGATGAAGACCTACCTTCTCCATCTCCCATGTTTGACTTTGTGCCATATTTATACTTATTCGTACAATAAATATCGTCCGTTGGAGTCAGTCAGTAGAATTCCTAACAGACGTCTCAGTGAGTAACCAAAGTACGATATAATATTATAAACGCTAGGAGTTATAACAATGTTACATGTACTTTCAGGATATGGGCGTTCATGGTTCTTCACAGCTTCCTGTTCTTAGTCACTCTATGTAACAGTGACCAGTTTACAGTCCCTACTTGGTCTGAAAAAAATAGGTAGAGAGAGCGCTCTTGGGAATCGTACACAATAAATAAAAAGTTGGTCTGCATGACATTACTATTAATCATGTCATTGGGAGACAGGTCCTTTCGAAACTGAAATTCGAATAGACCTTTGGGACATCACACCTAATAAAGAAATGGTTTGGTCTGCAGAACATGTCTATTAACCATATGATTTGGACAAAGGTCCCTTCGAAGGTGAAATTAGTATAGACCTCTTGATAAACGGTAGCCAATAAAGAAAAGAGTTGGTGTGTAAGACATGCTTATTTACACCCCACAATATATAAGATAACCTTACAAAAAGTACTTAAGTCATGCAGTGAATATTGTGGGTTACCTTGTCGGAATCAAATATATATTTGTGCTATGATGTTGATTTGGGGTTAGTAGAGAGAAACGCCAAATAACACGTAACAATAAAAAGGGTTTTAATAGGTTGGTAAAAAGGTACAGAAATCGCCTGAGTAGTCAATAACTAGCTCAGCTAAGAACTTCTCTGTCTATCTGTCTTTTTTCCATGTCAACTGACATGCCACTATTTAAAGTCTTTGTTCGCAGACAAGTTCATCTTCCAGAGGGGTGGTAGGTTTCCGACAAAACAATTTGCATAATGGTTCGTGCGTTGATATTTCTAATCATTGACATTGAAATTCTGTTGCCTACCTAGATTTAAATATCGATCGCTGGTGCTGATTGACAACACGCAACCTCTTCAACCACTAAGCAGTAATATGCACTGTTCTTTATCAGTCAAACACATGCCAGCAAGCTTGATAAGACAATTTCATTGCGAAAATTCACAAAGTGAAAAGCCCTTCCTACATAGATTCATCAATGTCATAAACATATGTTAACTTATAAAGCTTTTTAAAAGATATTTTATTTTGTAAACTTTTCATGTATTATAGTCCAATAATCTGTTTTCCGTAAAATCTGATACTTGTAAAATATGATGTGAATGAATATCCACTCGTTTAATTAGAGAATCGCTTTCGTGATTTTAGTTTCAGGATTTGTCTCTTGTTCGAAGCAACTCATAAAGGCTATTATTTTTTTTTAAGTAGAAGAGATCCGCGTCTCATAAAAACAAAACGGGAATTAAAATTGTTGATCATCTTTTCTGAATATAGCAATTAGCATCTTATAGATTTCATTATAAGAGCCATTTTTCTTTTAATTCCTGGGGCTACGATATAAGAAGGAAAATAAGAGAGTGAATTATTCGCATAACAGTAGAGGAACGTGAATCAAGGGACTTTGAAAAAAAAGTCTTATATGATTCAGATTTTCAGACTGGAAACTGGTTTAATTATTCTTTTCTAAGACAATCTTGATATATTGGAATTATTCTTGGCAGTCTACAGAAGAACGTGAATCGGGTGATGGAATATGTATAGATGTTATTTAAGGCCGAAATCTGAATATTTAGTACGTAATTTTTAATATTAATTTTAATTTTATTTTGGAGATAATAATGTTTTAGTGATACAAGTCTTACTAATTAACCCATATCTGGGGGAGTCTAGGTGGATTCATACCAGTCCCACTGGTATTTGCGCGTAAGTGAATATAACGAACCCAACTGGAATTGGAACTCAGCTCTCCGATTTTTAATTTCGAGTCATTATCCATACACCACCCTCAATCCAAGCTTACAGCACCTGGTATTCTCAAGCGGTTGCCCATCTAGGTATTGACCAGGCTCGACGTTGCTTAACTTCGGTGATCATACAGGAACCGATGTTTTGACGTGGCCATAAGCCTGATGAAAGTTGTTGTTGATAAGAAGCATTGGTAGTGACTTATATCTGGAATAATAACAAATAACATCGACATTAGAAAAAAGTCTTCTTTTCTCGAGGTATTTCAAATATGTCTAAAATACGATTTACTCCAGAGAATTGACAGTTTCTTTCGAATTTTTTTATACGAAATATTGTTACTATTCAACAATGCTTTCAGACGAGCATCTTCATTTGAGTTGTTTTTATCATATCCTCATTCACTTCATCTTCATCGTAAGAAGGAAGTTCCATTAAAACCGTTTCTTCCCGAGAAGAGCTACTCTGGGGAACAGAATCCCAAGTGATTGCTTCCATAATCGTTACAATCTTAACCTCTCAAGTCGAAAGTAAACTGTTGTCTATCCTACATATCCCCATGACATCTACTTACATCTTTCACTTAAATGTATGCAACACAGTAACTATGTCTCTTGTGTGGCTCTTGAGCTTTCTGTTGGGTGAACATTTAGTAAAAAAATATAAAAAAGAACAAAAAGCAACATTATTCGCTAATGTACTCTCTGATAATTTATATGGAATTTGGAACAGGATTATTGAAGGTTGGGGTATATTTATTTTGTCGCAGCCGCCGGTATCCTTGTTTCAAATTCGTAAATAACAAGACAGGTATCCATCCTTTAATCACATTTGTATATCCCCATACTGCTTTAACTAGGGATTGAACTCATGACCCAGGAGAATAAAACGAATTCACCACTAACTGACAATGGGGTAGGATAAAGGATTGCGAGACATCGAAGAACTCAAAGACAGAATAAAAAGTGTAATATCAAACATTCCCCGTGAAATGTGTCAAGGCACTTAATTGTACTGTTGATCGCTTGTTTTGGTACATCAATCGTGCTTGTGGACAGGTGGGGACTGTTCAGTAAACACTGAATAAATGATTCATTCTCATACTAGTGTTAACATAATTTTGACTCACCATATATATATATATATATGTGTGTGTGTGTGTGTGTGTGTGTGTATGTGTGTGTATGCAATTAGGAAAGCATATTTGTTTATATTTAGTGTGGCTACATTTAGAATGTCAACCAGTATTTGGGCCTTAGTTTCAATATATTTAACTAACGTATGTTTCCCAATATTGTGCTGAAAATTTGGCTAAGTTGTCACAATGCTTCTGTGGATGTTAGTTCGTCCTCGGTGGCACAAATTCTATAGAATCCCACATCTAATCAGTAAGATTTATGAGTGGGCTTTAGGGTGGCCTCTCCACGGCGTGCAACGATCTTTGCTTTCCTCATTTTGCCAACTAAGTTCTACACAGATTAAGGCTTTACATTGGATCATTATCTTTTTGACAATAAAATTCATGGCCAATACGTCAAAGACTATTTTGTGATGTATACAGAATCTGAATCTGGTTCCACTGTCCAGTTCTTTTCCATTTATCAAGCAGATATCTCCAAGAGATTCAACGGAAAAGCATCCCCAGATCATAACACTGCATCCGCCATGATTAATAAATGAGATAAAGCATCATGGACAATTTTGTTCTCCATTCTTTTCCTCGGCCACAATTCAAATTTGAATTTCTTTGGACAACAATTATTTTTTTCTTCTTCTGCTCATTGATCCATTTTCTGTATTTCCTGATTCATTTGAGCCGTTTACTTTTCTGTCTTTCATTTTATCTTCAAGATAATCTTTATTATTATTTACTCTCGATGTTTTCATTGTTTGGTTGCTTAGAGTTCATTTCTTTATCAAGTCCGCCACATCATTTTCTCATATCGGTTTTCAGTATTTCTATCTGATGTATTTAATTCTGGAAATTATCCTGTTCTTGCTAGATCTTCAAATTTGTCGGTTGGTTTGGGCCAATCTTGAGTATATTTTACAGAACCCTGGCAAAAGTTAATATAATCTGTATTTTTTTAATGTAGGCACAAACATCACGAGGTAATGTATGTATTCTCAATTCTTTGTTGGACAATTCTTTAGGTTTTGGAATGATTCTTTATTCGTTCTTAGAAAAAAAAAAAAAAAAGATGTAACTTTGCCAAGAGTTGGTGTCAGATTTTGGAAACAGAAATTTAACTAAACTTCACTAAATATAAAATGGAAATTGGTTCAGTCTTATAACAATGAATTTATTTCTACGGATTTCCAAAAATTCACAAATCGTGTGAAATAAAAGCAGCTATCCAGTCACAAAATCTGAATGCATTGACATCACAAACCTCAGTGACCTTTATGTTCAGACCAATAGTAACAGGACCAGCTTTTCCAACTAGTAGACACAGTAGCTTAATAGACACAATACTACAACCATTTACTAAGCAGATTAAAAGCTACATCAGAGACGATATTTACTTCCTAAGCTCCATCCCAGAAAAAGTAGATCCGGGAACACTCATGGCAACCCTTGACATTAGTAAACAATATAGCAGCATACCCCATAAATTAGGTAAACAGGCAATCTCATTTTGGATTGAAAAACACCTAGGAACACTACATCCCAGATTCACTAAGGAATTTATTATCGATAATATAGACCTAACCTAATACTAAACAATAACACATTTGAATTTGACAACAAAAACTATATCCAAACCCTAGGTACCGCAATGGGAACTAAAATGACACCAACATATGCCCCACCCTAATATTAGATTACCTTGTTCAAGCAGTGGTGGGCGCTATATTAAGGAAGTAATATCTTCACAACGAAAAACATAAAGTGAAAGATTTATGCGGTTAATCTTCAATTGGTTTATATAGTCTTGGGGCAACAAAAATTAACCTTTTCCCCATCAATCAATATAGTGACACTGAGCCTCGCCTAATTATATGCGCTTCGACCAAAAACTGGCGTGGGGGGTTGAAGGGTCCTTGGGATTCGTTGCTTCTTTAATTTTAACATTAATTCTAATAAAGTTTCTTTGTTCCTTATTTATGCTTTCTTAATCAACTTTCCAAATTTGGAGACTCATCCACCTTCTCTGGAATAGATACAGTGGTTGCTGCTTACTAACTCCAAACTGCTTCACTTCACATCTAGCACCACCACTCGACATAGCCTGCGCTAAATCTATCTTTGTGACAAATTTAATTTTCAAATCATTTGGACGAATGTAGGCCTCCGTCAGTCAGGGTTGTCCATGGGTAGCATCCTAATTGTCTGCTTGGCTAGAGCATCGATATCTGTGACTGTAGAGGCCGATACGAGAGTGATAATCTTTGTTGCAGAGGTCACATGTGTGTTCTGATAAAAATTTCTCTGGTCAGTTGGAGCTGCCATTTTTCTTTTTGCGGAACCGCCTTTCCGTAGTGACTTGTATCAGCTTCTCCTCCTCTAATCATTAATTTTAATCATTTTACCTCTTCAAGGCAGAGATAAAATTATTTCTCTGTTCCCGGTCCTACACAAATCAAGGAAAAAGACAAACCAGAACACCCTCTCGGAAATTGCATGATCTGTTTTCATAATTTCGACCCTCACAGTTCGTTCGTTCTTTGTTTTCATTTCCAATTTCGTCAAAGAAAAACTATTTTTTGACCAAAATTCTCAAAGAAGAGATAAAATTATTCTTCAAATCTGTTTTCGTCCGCATGACACACCATGGATAGATAAGAAAAAATAAACGTTAGGAGCGAAGGAATCTAGATGGTCCCATTTTCTCCAAGGAAAATATCTTCGCTCTCTCTCTCTCTCTCTCTCTCTCTCTCTCTATCTATCTATCTATCTATCTATCTTTTTGCCTATATTTCATTTTGGACTTAACCCTTTTAAGTTCAGAATCAAATTTTAACCAACTAATGGCCTCATTGTCACAGACAAATCAACTGTAAATATCTTAACGGTTCGATTGCATGTGAAATCTTATCGTTTGTTCTTTCATTTGTTGTTAATCTCTAATTATTTGATTCTAGTCAAGAGAAATCTTGTCACACGTCAAGTCCAAGTCGGCGTTTAAATTTCAGTTTGCTTAAAACTGAGCGTAAGATATGCTTTCATCGTCTCAACTTTGAAGAAAAACTTTCAACTTGAAAATTCCGTTAATTTAAATTACTTGAGATTTTTTCTCATTTCATTACGCAAAGAAAGTTGCCTGAAATATCGAATATTTCAAAGGTGAATCCAAATAAGAAAGAATATGGTCATTTCTAACGGCTGTTTTAATTTATTTCTGTTTATCGTTTTAATGTGTTTTCTTTGACTAAATTCACAACGGATTTTGTTGTCTGCGTCTTTTTATCACTGCAGAAACTTCAAAGTTAATCCTTCCAAGACGATATCCATGAAATAAAACTTGTGTAACAACAAAGAAATTGATAATAAATAGGAAAAGAGGGGAATTATTTAAAATAGCAGGAAAAACCCGAAGGGAAATTGAAACATTTTGAATTAAAGTAAGAAAAACAAAGAAACAAAGATCATCTTCATCGCTAGCTTTAGCTATGTTGCTCTCCATTAAAATTTTGAACGGAAGAGAATTATAAAAAAAAGAACCGGATCAATTTTGAAAAAGTTTCTTTTGCTGATAAGAAATGTTTTTTTTTTTTTTTGTTTAAATGCGACTATTTCGTTCTTAAAGTTACCATATTTTTCTAATATATATATATATATATATATATATATATATATATATATATATATATATATATTGAATACACATGTCTCGTGTAAACACGACTGTATCAGTCACGAATAGACGATTTTTGGCTTACTGAAAAAATGTTTATGATTTGTCTGCAGTAATGACTAATCTGTTCAAATAAAAACAATTTTTTGGTTTTTAAGCTTGCAATATTAAAATAAATGTTTTTTCTTTGCTACAAAGTGAATGAATATTTACTCAGAATTTTATTTTTGTTGCAGCAGATATAAGTTTTGAAAAAAAGATTAGCATCTCTGAAAAATTGGTGCAGGTAGTCTCTTGGGGGAATTAAAAGATTCTTTTACTAGAATTTTTGCCATTAACTAAATCTAAATAAAATTTTCT